ATATATATATATATATATATATAAGGTATATGTATGTATATATGTATATACATACGTATATATATTTATAAACAGAAAAAGTAAACAACTCTGATGGGACTCCTGAACTAAAACTTTATTCAGCAACGCTTTGAGGCAATCCCTGAAATCAGGTGTTTTCTGTAATGTACTTTCATTTGTCTGGAACAGTTTGTGTTTTAGAATTATTATTAAAAAAATTTCAAAATCAACATTTTATTTTACGAAAACAAAATATTGATTTATGATTGGTATTATTTTTTTCAGATTTCTGTTGTTTGAATTACTAATGCAAATGTATTAGTTTCTTTGATGGGAGGGTGTGTGTAAACTTTCAAGCACAAGTATATATGATTTAGCTCCAATCTGAATGTTCGCCTACTTGCAGCTATTAGCCTTTGACTCTCTACCAATACAACCTGGAATTGAAGCCAAAAGGGGTCAGGCTTTAAAATTCTCCCTGCGTAGTTGGTGGTCGGGTTCGTAAGCAACTGTGTATTTATATACACACAGACAGAAGATACGTCCCACCGTAAGAGAGGAGCCTTTTTTCATCAAAACAGAAGACAGAGGAAATAATGTTGACAGAGGATGAAGTCAGAATGCTCAGCAGAGGTTTCTGGGTGTTATTTAAAAAATACTTTTTAATTTAGCCGTAGATCGTCCTACCTCTAGTCCAGACACTGGTGAGCCGCCTCCTTCTCTCCCCGCTCTGTTTGGCTCTTATCTCCCACTGTAGTTCTTTAGCATAGAGGGGGGCAAGACTGGTTCTCTCGCAGCCGCTGTTCTTGCACTTCCCGCTGAAGCGGTCTGAGCCCTAGAGCGCCGTTGTAACCCTAAAGCTGTTATCCGGGAGATGGCGATGCCAAAGGATTTGTTTGACTTCGAAAAGTAAAAGTCGCTCCGTTGAATCCCTCCATGTTGAGCCATTGTTGGCTAAATTTATACCCCCTACCCCTCATTATGATCGCTACCCCTACATGCTAAGAGGAATTGGGACCTCACTACCCTCACAGGAGTGGGCAAATGTAGGGGTAGATCTGAACAGTAGGGCTAGGAGGTGGTAATACGATTGGCAGCAAGTGTTGCCTTTTACGGCAGAAAGCTTTCATTTACAATGAAATACTACTAAAGAAAGACAGGGTCATTTTAGGACGCCGCCTCAGCCAGCCATAGCAATCAATGGGAGAAGCTACATGAAGCAGCTATCAAACAGCTATTAGCATCTAACACAGACCTCATTGTGAGCGTCAACAAGCAGGTGAATAAAAGGTAATACTAGTAATAGCTAGCAAAGCATCAAGTTAGAATTGAGCTGGAACAGCATCAAGTCTAATTAGCTTAGCACCGTTTCCTATCCATCAGGTGTTTAAGGACTAAACGCACCAGTTTGGTTCTGGACAGATTCTCCAAGCTGTCTGGGCTAAAATCACAGAGGAAAAGAGGTGCTGGTTTATAACAGGGGGGAGAAATGAGGAGGACTCCTTTAACAGATGGATGGAGCGGCCAAGTGGAGCAAACATTGTTGAGGATTGCTCAAAGAAAAGGAACATTTCTATGTAAACAGCGGAGCGATGGGGTTTAGCAGGAACTGGGCCCAAACTCTGAGAACTCTGGCCTTGGAGCTGCTCTCACCTATTCAACACGAGGCCAAAGACCTGCATGTTTTGATTGGCCTTTGACACATGAAAC